GAGTGCCTGACTGAACACAATGGATTCAACCTGTTCCAGCTTTTACAGAAAGCTCTGCCCCTCACAGAAAAGCAACAGGGACAGACTTACCAAACTCCACATCAGAGAGGTCCCCTCCGTTGGAGAAATCTCTGGAACAATTCCCATTCATTAATTTGTTGCTGTTGGACCTCGAGTCCGAGGCACAGGCTTTGGCCACAGACTGGACGAGGTGCTCGTCGTCGGCGTTCCTCCAGCCCCACCAGCTCACCTCGGGCTGGCCACAGCGGGAGATCACTGCCCCATTGCTCTGGTGCCTGGAAAGGGAGGGAAGAACAAAACCAACGGTGCAAAAGTTGAAGAATCAGGATGAAAACTGCCATGGTGCCTTAATTCCCACCAGGGGCCTCGCCACTGTTCAGCAGTTCTCCAACCTGGGGGCAGTGGCAGCATATTCCATGTGCTTCCCTTCCAAATGCTGCCTGAGAACACAGTCACTGAGAGGGGAAAGTCAAAGCAAGGTCAGGAAGAGAAAACAAAGCATCTCCTTGCTCAGTGTGGTGGCCTGTTGGCCAGGGAAGGCTGGGGAGCGTTTTGGAACAGCAGGTGAGGAATTCCAGAGGAATTCAGCACCTGCTGGATGGGAGATGAATGAGCAACACTCCAACCTGAACATGGCTCTCATCTCCTGGGGAGTGACATTTAAAAAAATCACTTTTTTTCACACGTCTGAGGAGTTATTAGTTATTTCCTTAAAGACCCAGCTTCTTGTACTACACGTAAAGAACAGATCTGAAATAATTAAAACTCCTTGAACCATTGCAAGGACAGTCTGAAAAAGATTTAAAAACTCTCCCCTACAATCTGCAATAAGAAGAGGACTGAAACATATCACAGTAACTCGCCTTGCTGCCTCTGTGCTGGCACATCCCACTGATGCCATCAGCCCTGAGACTCCCCATTCCCTGCAGCGTTTGCAGCTGGGAGTGACAGCCTTCTCCTTGCCCTTGCCCAGCAGCCCCTGAGCTGAGGGAGCTCAGTCCTGGACAGGGAATCCCAGCTGTGGGTAGAGAGCAGAGCAGCCAGAGCAGCAGACACAACTTGCCTGAGGCCACACAGTGAGGCAGCACTGCTGACAACAGGACACCCAGAGATGTTCACTCCCTGCTCATGTCCCAGCTGAAATGTCCCCCCACTCACCCACACACTGTGCTTGTCTCTTTAAATGGCCTGCAGATCACAGGATTGTGGGATGGTTGGGATGGCAAAGGGACCTCAAAGCTCATCTCATGCCACCCCCTGCCACGGGCAGGGACAGTTCCCACCAGACCAGGTTGCTCCAACCTGGCCTTGGACACTTCCAGGGATCCAGGGGTAGCCACAGCTTCTCTGGGCAACCTGTGCCAGGGCCTGCCCACCCTCCCAGCCAACAATTCCTTCCCAATCTCCCATCTATCCCTGCCCTCTGGCAGTGGGAAGCCATTCCCTGTGTCCTGTCCCTCCATGCCTTGTCCCCAGTCCCTCTCCAGCTCTCCTGGAGCCCCTTTAGGCCCTGCCAGGGGCTCTCAGGTCTCCCTGGAGCCTTCTCTTCTCCAGGTGAACCCCCCCAGCTGTCCCAGCCTGGCTCCAGAGCAGAGGGGCTCCAGCCCTGGCAGCATCTCCGTGGCCTCCTCTGGACTCTCCCCAGCAGCTCCACGTCCTCCCTGTGCTGTTCCCCAGGGCTGGGGCAGCTCTGCAGGGGGGTCTCAGCTGAGGGGGCAGAGGGGCAGAATCCCCCCTGCCCTGCTGCCCACGCTGGGTGGTGGATTTCTGGGAACACATCCCTTCCAGCCAGAGGTTCCTCTGGGCACTGCTGTTCCTGCTCAGGAGTCCCAGCACAACCCCCGATTTCCAAAGCACACACGTTCCAACTCCAGCTCCCACATGCTATGATGCAGCGAAGGATTTTAGAGCCTTCCTGCAAACAAACTGCCCATCCCAGCTTCAGGGCAACCAGGAGTTGTTGGATTCCCTCTAATCAAGGAACACCAGAGCAGGGAAGGCTCAGCTCAGTCCCGAAGCAAATCTGCAGAGCCGACTCAGCCAGCCCTGCCCAGGAAGAC